AAACATGATAAACATCAAAGTTAGGAGTTATCTACTTGTATTGTTTATTATGATTAGGATTAGCAAACTCTATATAAGGATGTCGAGTTATGACATTAAAGGTGTGAGAGTTTTGTTTTGAAGAACTTGAGTTTTGAGCTAAGTTTCTCAGGTTAATAATAAGAGAGATATTCTTATTTGTGTCTTTCAAGTTCTATAAGAACTTGCTCAAGTATAAGCTTTTGCATCACGACCGCTCTAAATGTGAGTGGCTCTCTCTCTCTCTCTCTCTCTCTCTGAAGGCATTGGTAGTTTTTCTTTCTTGGCATGGTCTAAATGATTGTTGCTTTCTTCGTTTAGATGATGGATTCAGACTCACTTATCTTGGTTACGACTTTCTTGCCATTAAAACATTGGTCAACCGTGGTGTTTTCACCGGTGTTGGTCGTCAGATTGGTGTTGGTAAAGAGTCTGGTAAGTCTTTCACCTATTTAATTTTTAATCCATTGGTGTGTTGAAGAGATACTGGTTTGTGGCTGATATTTATTGGTTATTTGCATTATAATAGATATATTCGAGGTGGCTCAGGAAGATGGAACTATTTTGGCAATGAAGTTGCATAGACTAGGGAGAACCTCCTTTAGAGCTGTCAAATCTAAGCGTGACTACTTGAGGCATCGCAGTAGTTTCAGCTGGTTGTATCTCTCCCGTCTTGCCGCTCTCAAGGAGTTTGCTTTCATGAAGGTTATTATTGCCTTTGTTCCTTCATTAATGTCACACTGTTCTTGTAAGTCTATCTATCATCTTTTACTAGTTTTTGGTCTCATGTTTGTTTGGCTTCCGGTTGAGCAGGCTTTGGAAGAACATGACTTTCCAGTTCCAGAAGCTATCGACTGCAATAGGCACTGTGTTATCATGTCTCTTGTGCAGGGATACCCCATGTAAGGATCTACCTTCATTTTCACAGGAGGAAAATAATTGTTATGATTTTATATGGCTATGTTAGTCTTAACCATCATCTACTCATAGTTATTGGTGGGATATTAATAGCCTTATGCATTGGATTCGAGATTCCTTAAAAGTGGATCCAATTACTTCACTCGTTTACTAAGAAACAGTTTTGACCTTGCTCCTCTGAATATCTTTCATATTTGATCTGTGGCAGGGTTCAGGTGAAGCAGTTACAGAATCCTGAGACAATTTTTGAGAAGATTATTGGCATTGTTGTTCGTTTAGCCGAGCATGGTCTAATCCATTGCGACTTTAATGAATTCAACATCATGGTGAGATACTTAGATAATTATCTAGTTTATTAATGTCTTCTATAAGTAAGTTGCTTTTGCTGAAAATTGCATGCATCTATTTAAAGCTGCCTCGTTGTATGATTCTGTAATCATGCTAGTTTTTCATCTGCTTACACCTTTATTTATATATGTATATCTTAGATTGATGATGAAGAGAAGATTACGATAATTGACTTCCCACAAATGGTATCTGTTTCACACCAAAATGCACAAATGTATGTGGTCTCATGCCTCTGTCTTCTCTTTTCCATGATTGTTTCTTGGTTTGTTTATGATTATTTTTCTTTCTTTTAGGTACTTTGACCGGGATATTGAATGCATCTTCAAGTTTTTCAGAAAAAGGTTCGTTACATATCATCTGTTCAAAATACATGGTTTCTCATTCTTAGATTTCACCATTTCTGTGAGTCAATTTCTTTATTTCCCAGGTTTAATATGTCTTTCCAAGAAGCTAGAGATGAATTAGATGAGACAGAGGTGGAAGTGGATGAGAACAGCAGACCATCTTTCTATGATATAATGAAAGATCCCAATGCTCTGGATAGAGAACTAGAAGCTAGTGGTTTCACCAAAAAGGAGCAGAATGACCTCGATAAAGTATGTGACCCGTTGACCTCAGTAATAACACTGCTTATCTATGTGACGTTGTATGTACTTGACGAACATGTATAATCGATTGCTGCAAATTATGCAGCTCTGGTCCTCTTTCTGTGTAGTTTGTGAATGGTATATAGAATGAACATATGGTTTCTGTCTTGTGTAGTTTATTGAAGGTGGGCTGGAGAAGAGTAAAGATTCTGAAGAGGATGAGGAATCTGATGATGAAGAGCAGACTGTTGAGTCAATTGAAGAAGGAAACCTAAATGAAATGAAATCATTACAGTTGCAAGAAGAGGTAATAAACATTTCCCAAGTCCATCGTATAACTGAATCATGTTCTTTCTTTTAAACACTATATGCTTGGTATGATGTGTAGGAGCAGAAATGTTCAGATGGCGTTGAGCCAGAAGCTGAGTTGGATGATAATGAGAACAGCGAAAGCAGTGGAGATGAAAATGAAGCTGGAAGAGATGAGGTTAGTATCCTCTGTCTAGTAGTAACTTAGAGAGTATTGAGTTGATCAAATAACATAACAAACATTCACCTTCCTTTGCTTCAGGAGCTAGACAAAAAACTGGGGAAGCAAAGACGCAGAGCCATGGCAGCAGCCAGGGGAGGTAGAAGATCGCAGTGTTCAAGAAACACATACAAGGACAAAGGTGGCCGTTCCCAAAACTCCAAGCTCCACAACAACATGACCGGCTGGTGATGGATAAAACTTTTTACAGCAATTTTGATACACACAGAACAATGTAATGAACTATGGTTCTTAATGGGCCTTTAAATGTTGTAAACGGGCATGTTTTTGATTTTCTATTGACTTTTACCCGATTTATCGAGATTCCAAATTAAATCCAAATATTCAGTTTCCATAAATTAAAGAAAACATCTCAAATAATATATGTTGTCCAAATCCGTTAGATTCTGTTTTGTAGGGGCAAATATTAAAATACAATGAAAGTCAAGGGACTAGATGAGAAATACGCTCCCTCAACAAACGGATATAGAAAAAAAAAGATACAGAATGCAACGCAACGGTTGGTTAGTGACCTCAACGGTCAGAAAAATTTTAAACCTTTTTATAATTCTGATCTCGCTCAAGCCGTCTTATTAAAACCTCAACCTCTTCTTCTTCCATCACTCCTTCTCTGAGATTCATTTGTCTTCTTCTTCTTCATCGTCTCCATTCACTGCAAAGATGATGAAAGACGTATTCAGACCGACCAAATCCGCTCCATGCTCTCCCGCAAAGCCACTCGGTATCTCCCGAACTCGGTCTGAATCATTCCATGCCATCCACAAAGTTCCCGTCGGAGACAGTCCTTACGTCAGAGCCAAAAACGTTCAGGTGAATTAAAGTTACATCCTTTATTTCAGATCTTGGAATCAGAACTTGTCATCTGATTGATTTGTTTTGCGACTGGTTATTGATTTTACTTCGGGAGAAGCATCCCGAGAGAGCAATTCCTCTGGTCCGCCATTAACGCTGGAGACAGAGTTGACAGTGCTCTGAAAGATATGGCTATTGTTATGAAACAACAAGATCGTGCAAAAGAAGCTATTAAAGCCATTAAATCTCTTAGAGTCAGGTGTTCAGATCAAGCTCAAGAGTCGCTTGACAATATCCTTTTAGATCTCTACAAGGTACTTACTTTACAACAAAACCTAACATCCTATGTTTCCTCTGTTTCCTTACGTTATAACATAACATAACTTCCTTTGTTTTTACTCTGTTTATCCTTTTGCAATTGCTTAGACAATATCCGAAACCTAACATCCTCTGTTTCCTTACTTTACAACATAACTTCCTCTGTTTTTCCTTTTGCAATTGTTTGGTTTTGTATTGAAACGTTGCGTTTTATTTGCAGAGATGTGGGAGATTAGATGACCAGATTGCACTATTGAAACACAAACTCTTCTTGATCCAAAAAGGACTCGCCTTTAACGGTAAACGAACCAAAACGGCTCGATCTCAGGGGGAGAAGTTCCAAGTCTCTGTGGAGCAAGAAGCCACACGGCTACTAGGGAACTTAGGATAGGCTTTGATGCAAAGAGACAACTTCGTGGAAGCCGAAGATGCATACAGGAGAGCTTTATCGATCGCACCGGACAACAACAAGATGTGTAACCTAGGAATCTGTCTTATGAAGCAAGGAAGGATCGATGAAGCTAAAGAGACTTTAAGACGTGTGAAGCCTGCGGTGGTTGATGGTCCTAGAGGAGTGGATTTCTAAAAGCTTACGAGAGAGCGCAGCAGATGCTTAACGATCTTGGTAATGAGATGATGAGGAGAGGAGGGGATGATAGAGTTGAGCAGAGGAGGCTTTTTGATGCGATGTTTGGTTCTTCCTCTATATGGCAGCCTCAACCTTGTAGAGAACAGACCGTGAAGCCTAAGGCTAAACCGGGTTTGAGTAATGATGGGTTTGGTGACGAGAACGTGAAGACTAATGTGAATGTGAATGTAGTGGTGAACCCATTAAGGGTTGATGCAAAACCATTCTTCTCTTCGAAGTTGGTGAGCAATAACGAGAAGCTGAAGAGGACTAGATCGTCTAGCCAAACGATGGGGATGTTGAGTGTTGGTGGTGATGAAGGAGAGACAAATACTAAGAAGAGATTATCAATGGAGAAGAAAGCAATAGACTGTGGATTACCAGACAACAAAGTGATGATCATGGCTGTTTTGGGGACAGAGACCAAAGTGGTGGACAAGAAGAGGCTTAAAGTTTTTTAGGATATCACTTTGTCCTCCCTTATAGCCCAAGAGCCTGAGTTACAAGAATCTCTAACAAATCTATTTTATTATCATTCTAATTTATTAGTTCACTAAGTAAAGAAAAGGAGATGAGCTCTTATTCTCCTTCGGTAATTTTTATTAATGTTTTTTTTGTCTGGTTAAAGTTACTACATTTGTTCACAATTATTGTAGTTGATAAATAATAAAAAAGTGAAAAGTTATGTTCTTTTTAGTCTATGTTGTATATCTAGTAATAATATTGTGTAGATATGTTAAAAAGTAAAAAACCAATGAGAGAGACAAAAAGAGAAAATGACAAGAGCTTATGGGTTCTTGCTCCACATGTGTGGTGGTTATATACTGAGAGAGTGGTGACCATTATTACTCTACTCTCTCATTCATCTATCAATAACACTTATTATTGCATTACCATAAGTGTATATATGTTCTTGCTCGACATGTGTTTACATACTTAGTAAGTAGTTAACATCACTCTTCTCTCTCATTTTATCTATCTATCACACTTATTACACTGCATGTGTTCTTGCTGCACCTGTGTGTTATATAGAGTGGTTACCATTACTCTTCGCTCCCATTCATCTATTAATTCTAACTAACACTTATTTGCATCTCCATTGATCCACAATGGTTGCCCTTAATCTTTTGAGTCACTTGTCATCTTTTATGGTTAAGTTTGTCAAAATTTAAAGGGAGTGAAGTATCCGTTTTAAACATTCAAATGTGTATATACAATAATACCAAGTTGGTCTCTGTCCTCTTCTGCTGCTACCAGATTATAGAAACGCTTTGTCCACTTGGCATCAATCCAAGTGTAGCCGTTGAAATAGTATTTAGTTCCTGAAGTGCCCCTTTGTTTATTTTTAACCGTGGCAAACGAAACGGTGTTATAAACTTGACCATCAACGGTTCTATTTCAAAGTTTTGGTATACGCATTAATTCGAGTTTCAGGAGAAAACAAAAAAAAAGTAACTTTGACCATGGTACATTCCTGTAATAAAATTGAAAACTAAAGGTTATTTTGGTAAAATGAACTGTTTGGGAAGGAAAGAGGCTCTCCGACCAAAGCTTAAAGGGTGTGTGTTGTGAGGTTAAACTGAAAAGAGGAAGTCACAAACTCCAACTACATTCCTCTGGAGAAGCCAAAGTACTTCTTCCTTCACTAGTCTTCCACCTCAAAATCTAATCCTAAAGTTAAACCCTTTGAGTTTCAGATCAGGACAAAATTAGGATCTTTTCTTTTTTTGCTTTTTGCTTTTTTTTTTTCTGGTTTTAATTTATTTGACACAAACGAGGTAAGCGCACTTGCTTTCACTTCACAAGTAGAAGAATGTGATTTGTAGGTATAGTGTGAGTTCAGTTCAGATTCTTTAAGTAGATAAGAAAAAAAAGAAAGTGTTTTTTTTTTTTGCTGTGTGTTAACTGCATGGTGAAGAAGAAGAGTGAGTGAGTGAGTGAGAAGAAAGATCCATTTTTCAGACAAGAGTTTGAAAAGTGAAAAAAAAAATGGGTTGTTGTCAGTCAAGGATAGATAGAAAAGAGATAGTGTCTCGTTGCAAAGCTCGGAAGAGATACTTGAAACATCTTGTTAAAGCTAGACAAACTCTCTCTGTCTCTCACGCGCTTTACCTCCGTTCTCTACGCGCCACCGGCTCCTCCCTTGTCAACTTCTCCTCCAAAGAAACCCCTCTCCATCTCCACCACAACCCTCTTCCTTCTCCATCTCCCCTTCCTCCGCCTCCTCCTCCTCCTCCTCCTCAGCCGCAACAACGTCCTCGAAGCCCTAGCTCCGAGACTACATGGACCTCCACCACCACTTCCTCCGCTCTCCCTCCTCCGCCGCCACCTCCACCGCCTCCTCCTCCTCAGCCTTCCTCTACATGGGACTTCTGGGATCCGTTCATCCCACCTCCTCCTTCCTCCTCCGAGGAGGAGTGGGAGGAAGAGACAACAACTGGAACCACCACGAGAACTGCTACAGGAACAGCTTCTTCAGACGCTCCTCTCACCACAGCTCCAACGACAGCTACTCCTCAAGGCTCATCAGTAGTGAGTGGCTTCTCTAAAGACACAACAACAACGGGAAGCGAGTTAGCAGTTGTGGTGCCGAGGAACAGTAAAGATCTGATGGAGATTATCAAAGAAGTTGATGAGTACTTCCTCAAAGCTGCTGATTCTGGTGGACCACTCTCTTCTCTCCTTGAAATCTCTACTTCTATCAACGCTACAGCTTTCTCTGCTCATACCAAAGGTGGTTAAAACTCAGTAAAGTTCTTGTCTTTCTTGTTCTTGTTCTTGAATCTGATTCATGTGTGTTTCTCTGTCTCCAGGGAAAATGTATAGTAACTATGAATGCAACTTGAACCCGACGTCGTTTTGGACAAAGGGGTTTGCTCCTAAGTTAAATGAATACAGAAACTCAGCATTAGTTGGAGAAGGAAACTGCATTGTTGGTAGCCATTCCTCTACTATTGACAGGCTCTATGCCTGGGAGAAGAAGCTCTTTCAAGAGGTTAAGGTAATTTACTTTAGTTTTATTGAAAATGTGTAGTATGTTCAATCTTTGAAAAAAAAAGTTTAGTTCTTTGAAAAAGTTTATATTTTAAGTTGAATCAATGCTTAATTTGGAGTTTTGAGTTTTGAAGTTACTTGTTTAGTTTTCATTCTAAAAATGGATAAAAATAATAAAAGATTCGAATGTGGTGGGTCCAGGAGTGAGTAGATTGTGTAAGAGACCCACATGTGCACTTAATTTCTGACAATGATTCTTGTAATTTGTAATGATAGTACACTGACACCAAATATATATAGCCAAAGCATGCAAAGAGTGAGTTGTTTGTTGTGTTGTGTAGTGAAATGTGTTTGGGATTGTTTGCAGAATGCAGAGAGCATAAAGGTGGAGCATGAGAAGAAAGTGGAGCATGTGAGGAGGCTTGAGATGAAGAGAGCTGACTATGTCAAAACCGAAAAGGCAAAGAAAGATGTTGAGAAGTTAGAGTCTCAGCTCACAGTGTCTTCCCAAGCCATACAAAGCGCTTCTAATGAGATCATCAAGCTCAGAGAGACTGAGCTTTATCCTCAGCTTGTGGAGCTCATTAAAGGGTTAGTTAGTTGTAATATTCCATTTGCTTCCATCTTAAATTAACAACAAAAGTGAAACAATGTTTCTTGTGTAATGTAATTGTATAGGTTGATGTGTATGTGGAGGAGCATGTATGAGAGCCATCAGGTCCAAACTCATATAGTTCAGCAGCTTAAGTACCTCAACACCATTCCCTCCACTGAACCAACTTCAGAGCTTCACAGACAATCAACTTTTCAGCTTGAGCTTGAGATCCAACAGTGGCATCACTCCTTCTGCAACTTAGTCAAGGCTCAGCGTGACTACATCCAATCACTCACTGGCTGGCTAAGGTTAAGTCTGTTCCAGTTCAGCAAGAATCCACTTGTTAGGAGTAGCTACGAGTCAAAGATATACAGCTTCTGCGAGGAGTGGCATTTGGCTATTGACAGGATCCCTGATAAAGTAGCATCTGAAGGGATCAACAGCTTTTTGACTGCAGTTCATGGAATCGTGGCTCAACAGGCAGAGGAGCATAAGCAGAAGAAGAGATCAGACTCCATGCTGAAAGACTTTGAGAAGAAAGCTGCTTCACTGAGAGCGTTGGAGAGCAAGTATAGTCCATACTCGGTGCCTGAGAGCAGGAAGAAGAATCCTGTGGTTGAGAAGAGAGCAAAGGTTGAGTTCTTGAAAGGCAAAGCGGAAGAAGAGAAGAGTAAGCATGAGAAGGCAGTGAGTGTGACTAGAGCCATGACTCTAAATAACTTGCAGATGGGTTTCCCTCATGTGTTTCAAGCAATGGTTGGGTTTTCAAGTGTGTGTATGCAAGCCTTTGAGTCTGTCTACAACCAAGCTAAGTGCATTGGTGAGGAGCAGCAAGAGGAGGTCAAGAGGTTGCTTCCTTAGAGAATTGCTTTACTGTTTCTTCTCTGTTTTTTGCTTGATCCCAAACCCAACCTTTAGGCAACAAACATGTTGTGAACTTGAGTTTAGTTTATGCTATTTTAGAAAATGAACTTTTTCATTGAATCATTGCCAGAAAATTTTCTTTTCTTTTTAAAGACAAAATTGGTCTAATTAACAAGACCAGAATAGAACAATTAACAAAATAAAGAATTCTATGAAAAAGCGAGCATTTTCATCAACTCAATAACCTCTTATCTATATCTATGTACTCAAGTTTGTGAGGAGGTTTAGTTAACCAGAATAGATCAACCAATAAAATTTTATCGAGTATTTTCATGAGTCAAGAACCGTTGATCTATGTACTCAAGCTTGAGAGATCTAGTTACCAGAATAGAACAACCAACAAAACAAAGTGTTATATGAAAAGATATAGCTTAAATTTTTATCAAAGTCAAGAACCTCTGATCTATGTACATTGATTATTAGTTAAGCACTCTAACCTCTATGCAGTACTAAAAACACCATTACATTTCCACTGAAGCCAAGCCAAACGCTTATCATTTCTCAAAGACAAGAACGTCTCTCTCGCACTCGCGTTGTTAAACAACTCAAGTGCAGCAAAATAAACATTCTCCGCTACACCTTTAATCCCATCAAGCTCCCTAATACACTCAGCAAGAGAGAACCTACTCATCACCTGCGTCAAAGCACTAGTCCTTACCTTCGAAGCATTCGCCATTTCAACAATAGCATTAGCAAGAGCAGCCTCCACGCCCCTACTAGGTCTTCTCTTCAGCGAGCTTTCAGCTTTTGATTGAGGTAATAACACAGGCTCCTCCTCAAGATGAACAACAGAGAATATCTGAGAGAGCTGTGTGTAAACAGGACAACCACCTCTTCTTACAGCCTCAGCTTCTGGACACTCCTGTTTTCAAATAACACAGTAAAAGATCAGCAAAAAAAAAAAACATATATAGATATTTAAAAAATATTAAAGTCAACACACCTCTATGTATTGGTCCCAAGCTTCATCAGTGGCGATGATACAACCAGTTGATTCGTCAAAAACGAAGTTATCTCTCGAGAGGATCTTTTTAACGGTGGAGAATTCGCCTGAGAGGAGAGAGAATCTGTTCTTGAGATGTTCTTTGTCGTGTTTGATGCCACTTCTTGTGTGGAACTCGTTGGTTATAAAGGTCCAAGCTTTATTGGATAAGGAGTTCTTTAATGTGTTTCCTTTACGGACCTGGTCGAGTATTAGGTTTGCGAGTAGCTTGCTTGAGAAGGATGTCCACTCTGTGTGGTGGTGGTGATAGTGTTGTTCGTTGGGGTTCCGAGTCGACATCTAGAGATTCAGACACGAACTAATTCACATTTTACGAATAAAGAAATGCAGGAGAAATAGGGAAGGTTTAAAACCCTAATCGAATTATAACAAAATGAGTGTTGTAGCGATCAGATAGTGAAGGAAAGAATCAAATTTTTTTGTGTGAAAAGTCTGGAAACAAACCTCAGTGTAAAGAAGCGGAGCCTTGAGAAAGAGATGACTTTGCGAAGGCGTGAGCCAAACAAGCCAGTAGGCTTTATGTCTGTTTGAGATTGTACAACTACTCAAGTTTCTTGCTTATTCACGTTATTGCCCTATTTTCTACTAATATTTCAATAAAACCCCCCAAGTCTTACTTATTCACATCACAGAGATGGTTTGAAAATGGTTTATTGGAGATTGTGTAAATATAAATAGAACAATTGAACAAAGAAAAAAGTAAATATCACCAAAACTAATATATATATATATATATATTTTTTAGACTATATATGGATCGCGTGTTGCATAGGTTTATATGAGATTTTAATTTTATGAAAAACATAAAAAAATTTCTCACTTTTTTTTTGCAGTTTTAGTATTTTTTACTATATTTTATGTGAAACTTATGTTTGGATTAAAAAAATTTGTTTTTATATTTATGGATAGTATTTCTATTTGATAGTCGTTGTGTCTATGTATGTTATTAACAATTTTGTACTTAAAGTTAGATAAACATTGAAACCCAACAATTCAAACTAAATCAAGTCCGAAGATTCAAACCAAACCAAATCGGAATAAGTAAGGATTGGATTGGAATACAAAAAAATTTGAAAGATAAATTAAGTCAATGCAGTGTCATACAATTTCTTCTGTTCATCATTTAAGATTTCATTAACTTGCTCTGCCATTCTTCTTGTTTAACATATTTTGATGTTTTCATATGGTCATTTATAGTTTGTGTTGTCATTTTAAAGTCGAGAATTTTTTTTTACATGGATTATTATTTATATTTTGATTTGTATGGTCTATACATATTTAGTTGTTCAACCAATATAAAATATTCTAAATTAACATTTTTTATCATGTGAATTAGAAGTAACGAAGCTATCAATACTTGGATATTGTTTTGATTTTGTAGCTACAAAATATATTGTATGGTGAAGACCTTTTTTCTCAATCTTGATTGTAAGAACAACTCTTTTAAGAATATATATATTAACATAATTTTTCATAATAAAATAATGACAATTACGTTTTATGGTAATAATTTCAACATAAACAATCAATTATATTAGTATAGTATATGTTATAATAGAGCTGAAGAAAACATTATCATGCAGATCTTAATTTTTTTTTTGTAAATTTATTTTAAATATATAAAATTTAATATTGGATATATTATTTCAATTTTTTTTATATTTTTCAATATGATTATTCAATGTTTTTCTCATGTTATATTTTCAGTTATAATAACAAAAATCAAGCTGAAAATGAAGATATTGATGGTAAAAGAATATATTTAGATATATATAATTACTTTCTTACAGTTGTAATTAAATATATAAAAATATAGAAAATTATGTAAGACTACAATAGTATGGATAAGAAATTTTTTATTTAACTGAACTATTGTTAAATAATTTCTAAATACTTATTATTTCTGATATTTTCATGAAAATAGAATTGTTAAAATACAAACAAACAACACCACATACAAACATAATAAAATTGCCAGGAGTAATTACACAAATAAAAATGTACAAACACATACATACTATGAAATAATAGTTTCACATACAGTAGTAATGTACAACGATGACATCATATTTTAAAAATAAAATAAAACAATATTAAGTGTGAACTGGAGAAAACACAGCTATTATATTTTCTGTCTTGTTATGTTTGGTAAAAAAAAAAAAATTTTTGATATATAAAAATTTTAATATTTTGGATTATGATTTATAGAAAAACGTCAATTACCATAAAAAGTTCTGGTATATGATTTTGTATAAAATAAAATTAATATCAGATAATTATATATTTATAAGGGAAATAATATTAAATATTTATAAATAAAAATGAACTTGGTAACTATTTCTGTTTTATAAGTTTCTTTTTATCTTAATCCAATATCTCCTAATCTTATAATTTTCTAAATTAGTGTCTTTTATTTGAAATTATAAATAATACTTTAAATAGTTACTACCATTAAAATATTTACTTACAAGGATTTTTTTAACAAAGCTCTTTAGTTTTTAATTAATTAAACTATAATATTAAATATTTAAGAAAAAATATTTTGGTTTATAATGTTGTTTTATAAATACAAATTTATCTTAAATTTGTCTTTTTATTTTATTATTATCTTAAACCCACGTATTTAAAAAAAAATAATACTACTAACTAAATAATAAATAAGAAAGGAAAATTACTATCAAATATTTGTGTTGGTTTTATTATGAATTTTTAACACATGTCATAATTAGAAACTTAAAAAAACTAAGGTTTATTTATAAGAAGAATTAAATATAGCTTTTAATTTTATGATTTTGTAAAAGGAAAACTACTATCTAATAATTTTATATTATAAGGAAAATCAATAATTAATATTTGTAAGAATAATATAATTTTGTAATTACTTTTGTTTGTAAGAAAATTATTTATCTTAAACCAATGTCAAATGATTTTGTAATTATTTAAAATCCATATATTTTTTTTTGAACTGGAAAATAAGGTTCTTTAATAAAAAGAATATTGCAGTAAAATAAACTTATATATTTTATAATTATTTTAGACCAATAGTTTTTTATTTGATCTTGCAAATAATATTCTTCAAAAAGTATACTACAGATTAGAAAACTTAAAAGAATTATTTTTCTAATTCTCTTTTGCTTAATACTTTTTAAAAGGAAAAACACTATTAAATATTTATAAGAAAGTTATATTTTGAAATATTATAATATGTAAGGAATCTTATAATAATGTTTTGTGTTTTGTAATTATCTTAAATCCACGTTTAATAAATTAAATACTATTATTAAATAATTACTTAGATGAAATTTTTTTTTATAGTTTATTGTTTTAGTTTTAAAAAAGGAAAACCAACTTTCCATGTTTTTAACATGGAAAAATACAATTAAATATTTATAATAAAAAATAATTTTCAAGTATATTAATTTGTAAGAAAATTATCTTAAAACAATGTATTGTATTTTGTAATTATCATAAGCCTGAATTTAAAAGAAAATACTATTATTAAATAATTATTTATGTGAAATAATTTCTTTACGGTTTTTGTGTAAGACTCCATAAAAAGAAAACTAACTTTTTAAATTATTTTGGGTTTAAGTTGTTTTTAAATTGAAGTTTTTTTAGTTAACTCATGTCCTAATCTTAAATATATAATTGACATGTGTTGTTTATATAAGATATCTATATTCAATTTTAGTTCATGTTTCTTCCAAAATAGAAAACAAATTGTTTAGGTATTGTCCAAAAAAATATGTATTTATATTGAACCCCGTTCCGTTTTAATTTTTAAAATGAATATCTTTAAAATTCTAAAAATCAAAATTTACAATTTTTATTTAGTGTTTTGAATATTTTAGAAACAAAGCTACAGCAACAAACAAAATTAAAGCTATAGCTAAAAACCAAAACCATAAATTCGAGAACAGAAAAAATATAAAACCACAACCTCAAGGTCCTCAACCAATATACTCATAAGAGAACAACAAAATCCTTGCATAAAAGATTAGCAACGTCCATATGCAAATGTTAAATGGTTACGTCAAATAATGAAACCTACATTACTATTTAATTAACTTTTGACAGATTGTTTGTTAGTGTTGTTAGTTAGGGGCATTGCTTAAAAAGGAAAGAAATATTAATAATG